TGTTATACTATTGATTGGTTCTGTAAGGCGTGGCTGTGGCCGTCAATACCAGAAAATAAAGAGAACGTTTTCGACATTGAAGGCTCGAGTGATCTGTGATCTTGAATAGCGGTGAACGCTACAATATGAACAGGCTCGTGCTTGGCCCACTGGTATTGTTTGTTTATTTATTTTGAAAATTAACTAGCAACGCCGTACTGTCATATAGCAACTGCTAAACTACTTCAGCAAAAAAATCCTGGCGCCGCCCATGCACACTGGGGCTGTGAAGTGCAGCGGATTCAGGAGATTATTCTCTGTAGAATGAGCAGGCCTATTTTACATTCACACACCGTCATTTACATTTGGTACAATATTTAAAAAATATCATTCTGACTGCCTTAAAATATGTTTTATCAATACTTGTTACATTTTTAGAACTGCAGTAGTAGTTGTTGTATAATTTAAGTAGGTATATTTTCAGAGTTTCATTTTTATGATTCCAGCAACAGTGTTTTCATAATCTTATTACTTAAAACACAGAGATATGCTTGCAAATTATGATAAATGTTGGCTATAGGAATTTATTTACCAAGAATCTAAGCAAGGAAAAACCAACCAGCCAAATAATTGGTGATGTAATAATAATGGTTTGCTGTAAAAATGTAAAAAGAAAATCCTAAATCAGTCATTAAAGCCAGTTGAAAAATATTAAATATTTGTTAAATTAGTCTATTTTTCTCCAAGTTTCCTTAAATTCACCCAAAACTAGGCTACAATATAATATACAGTTTTTATATTTACGTATTTACACAAGCTTTGACAAGGTATGAAAACAGAGGAACAATATAAAAAATATCTGCATTTTAATCGTCATAGACTGTACTGTATATTTAAAAACAAAGATATAGGCATCCATGTATATTGTTCGTCTACACAGGTCCACTATTGAAGCAACCCATAGCATAATAGATGGCAATTTAAGATTGACAACATGAACAAAATGATATACGCAGCATGACACAGCATGCCCTTTGCCCTGTTATACTTATAGTTCTCACAATCATAATCAAGGAAGACTGTAGAACAACTGATACTGAACTTGTTTAATGATTCACAAATCGATAAGATTATTGTTAACACTTTGGACGATAGGTGGATGACTGTTCAACTTTTCCAATCTGTAATTTTTCCTTTTCATTTTAGGATTTCCTTGACTCCATAAAGTCTGCCAAATACTTTATAAAGTGACTTATTTAAACGGCACTTCCTAAAAGAATAAATCAGAGATTTTATTGAATCTAATATAGAAATCCTCAATGGTAAATATTGCCCAAGCATGGATAGCTCGGGCTACGGATATGTATTTTGTTTGTTCTTGAGAGACAGCAGATACAAAACAATACAACATCTTTACCATGTTATTGATCATCCAAGTCGCCCCCAGGCTGCAGTTGTTTCATCCGTAGGACCTTTAAGGTAAGGCAGGTAACAGATTATTTTTACAGCACATTTCAAAAAGCATTCAGACTTTTGAAAAAGAAACACAATAAGGTCATTTCTATACCATTAAAACTCTCATTAAAGAGTAACCAAAGAGAACATTATAACAAGCTCAAACAGAAGAGGACAGTTTCATAACTGAATGCAATAAGAAAAGTTACAGCAGAGTGTAGGAACTTAAGAATAATTGTAAGTAAAGCAACAGGAAAGTTAGGGTTTTAGTGAACTAAGAGTTTTCTGGAAATCTGTTTCAGATATGTTGCTAATAAAAAATGTAACGCTCATTCTCCATGTTTGGGTTGGACTAAATAATTAATTCATAACAATGTAAACATTTGCATAAGCTTAAACAACATGATTATATGAGGCTTTCATTTGGAAAAAATGTTAACAATATCTGTAGGCCTACATGTTCCAACAATTACCAATAATTAATTGCGACTCATTCCTTTCCCACTCCGAAATTCAACCCTTCATGCCTTTACTGAAACTACACCCTATCAGCCTAGCTGATTTGCATCCTTTACTCTGACCCGCTTTTTCAGGGTGTGCCTCTTCCTTGTTTATCTGAAAACTATATTATGAGAAAAGAGCTATGAGGATTTTAACACTGAAGTGAGGGAAATTATCGATGTAACCTTATTTATTATTTCATAATGCCTAAAACCTAAAATGTTAGAACTAGAGTTATAATTACATATACAAGACTAGACACACTTTTCAGGACTTGTTATTTGCCATTGTTCAGCTAGATTGCTTTATTTGTTTATCGACTACTATGGTAGAGACAGGTAGAGCGTCTACCATTCAATCTAAAACTAAACAATTTAATCTGAAAGTATGGTTTCTCGATAATTTGTACAATTATTTGTAACGAGTAAAATTACATTTTCGATTTAACAGAACCTATAATCACGATTTGAAAAATATGAAGGTATTGGTCATACATCTATATTGACATTTCAGACTAATTGCACTTACCAATATTATAGTTTCATAAGCTGTCATCAGCGTACAAACGTCCTTCACCAGTTGCTTCAGTTGTACAGAACTGAGAAGTGACTTGTTTTGTAACCGACATGGGCGTGTTTTCAGATCAACAAAACCAGGAGGTGTCATTGACATTTTATGATTTACAAACCATCAGAAGCAACGTTGGAAGTACCCTGCAATTTCTATGCCTTAACATCCTGCAGTTGTTGATGCAATCATGCACATACAATCGAGAAATACCATTTCTTTATTTTTATGTTGTAGGTTCTGTCTCAGGTGTGTTTTCATGTGTCAGGGGAGAATCATCAAAGGGTCAAGAATCACAGTTAACCTTTTTTTCTTACATGACATACATTAAGGATTAGCAGCTCGTATTTTTTTATCGCAGGTCTTTTTAAATCTGCTCTTTTATGTACAATACGTATTTTACATCTATTTGTATAGTACATCTCCCTAGGCTATACATTTCTAATGCAAAAGTGAAGTGAAGTAACTTAGGTTAGATATTCGACAGACAATGAGGCAAGATCCAGCACTGGAATGTTGAGTCATACTAAATCATTGTGTCAATAAACTGGAAAAGTAGGAAACACCTATTTTTTGATCACGAGTTAGTGTTTAGATAATAAACAGGATGAGCCTCAATGCGCACAATATTTCTCTGCTGCAATGAGGCCTACTGTGAGTGTGAGCAACAAAAAGGAAAACAGTGTCATAAATCCCTCCTTTAATAAATCTAAGATCCAAAATTATATTTGTACTTGATCTTAGGCCTAATTTTATTAATTTTTTTATTAAAGAGGTGAGATGTGAAAATAATAACAGATGTGTTCAAAATGGACATGGAGGATTTCATGGTAGCTATGGTTTTCTGCAGGTGGAACATTAATATTTAGCTAATAATTAGTCCCCTGCCAAGTATGTTCATAGAACTTATACAACATAATAAAGGAAACAAAGAATGTATTCAGTATTCAACTAACACTTTAATCACAATGGTTGATTTTATTGCACAATGCGAAAGAGAAAATTGTAATATGATATAAATATTTAATCCTTTATTGTCTGGATTGTTATGCTTCGCCTACTTTTATGGAAAACCATCAAAGGGCCCAGAGTTACAGTTTCACGTGCCACCAAATCTGAAACATGAATAAAAATGAAAGTGAGTCAACAAATATTTAATTGGGACAGTTTTCACAGATTATGAAAGTTATAAAACTGTAGGATTTACAGTTTACCTTCAGGGATCAGACTTCCAAGGTTTGTTTGACCGGTGGGAAAGTTGCTGTCGCATGTATCGTCGCAATCGACACACATCATCGACACACATCATCACTGCCATCGACATTTATCCATCTGATGATTAGTATACAGAATTTATAATTTGGTATGAATCAAAATCAATCAAAATGTCTCTGCTGCAATAAGGCTAACCCTAACTCTCCCCTGGCACATGCAAATACACCAGAGACAGAACCTACAACATACAAATTAATAAAAAAGGTATTTCTAGATTGTTTGTGCAATTGCATCAACAACTGCAGGATGGTAAGGCATAGAAATTGCAGGGTACTTCAAACGTTGCTTCTGATGGTTTGAAAATCATAACATTTCCATGACACCTCCTGGTTTGCTTGTGCCACAAACCTGAAACCAATAGAACAGCTGTACATGAGAGCTATCAAGGTGTTTGACAGAAAGCCATATTCATACCACCACTGTACCTTGAAAAACTCAATTTCTTGAGTTTTGACAATTTTAAAAGTATGTGCTTTTTTTATAAATGCTTACATGGACTGGCCCCCCGTCCCTTAGGGGAATTCATCCACAAAAAAGACACTTGACGCTGCACTTGGTCAGAAACCAGAGGAGACTGTGAAGTCCACAAACAAACAGACGTGCAATCACCACTAAATGCACTTTAATACAGGGGAATCTCCTCTGGCACTTTATGTAGCTCTTGTATCTTCTCTTGCACTTTATATGTCGTTGCTGCTATATTGTACTGCCATGTGGTAAATACTTGTGTATGCTGCTCATGCTATTCCTGCATATCATGTATTTATTTTTGCTATGTATATAAATGTCATGTTCTTAAATGTTGTATGTGAGAGACTACGGATGGAAATGAGCTCAGAGCTCAAATCCGGCATATTACACTTGCCGCATTATTTGTTTAAAGTGTTCATTGATATGCATTGTCCCTGTCAAATAAACGATTAAATGAAATGAAATGGTTTTGTTGATCCGAAAACACGCCCGTGTCGGTTACAAAACAAGTCACATGCATTTCCCTGTTCCGCACACACAACTGAAGCAACAGGTGAAGGCCGTATGTACGCTGATGACAGCATATGAGACTATAATATTGGTAAGTGCAATTAGTCTGAAATGTCAATATAAGATGTAAGACCAATACCTTAATATTTTTTTAAATCGTGATGCTAGGTTCTGTTAAATTGAAAATGTAATTTTACTCGTTACAAATAATTATCGAGAAACCATACTTTCAGATTAAATTGTTTGGCTTTAATGGTAGACGCTCTACCCGTCTCTACCATATAGTAGTCGATAAGAAACAAATATAGCTGAACAATGGCAAATAAAAAGTCCTGAAAAGTGTATCTTGTCTTGTAATTATAACTCTAGTTCTAACATTTTAGGTTTTAGGCATTATGAAATAATAAATAAGGTTACATTGAGCATTTCCCTCACTTCTTTGTTAAAATCCTCATAACTTTTCTCTCATATAGTTCTCCGATTAATTACACCCAAATCCAATGTTGAAATAATAGCCATTTCTTTGTTTCAAGACAAAAATGTAAGGAGGAGAGTGGAGAGATCACGTGATGACACCGGCGAGCTGAGCGGAGTAGTCGGGTGCAGGCGGTAATCAGACTTAACTATGATTTAACCAAAACTGAAAGTCTCAAAGTGTAATGCGCAGTCAGTTCTATTAGTGTGTAAAAATATCTGCGTCTAAATGCCCGGCAGTAGTTTGACCAGAGCTAGAGCAAAGAAAGACAGCGGCCTCATGGCGGAAATGTTTGGTGAAGAGGAACACGTCCCCAAGTGGGCTAACCAATTGCTTATCGAAATACAAAGCGTTAAAGAAACCTGTAACGTAAGGTTTGACAATCTGGACAAGGCTATTGTTCAATTAAAGAAAGACTCTAAGGCCACTTCTCAAAGAATAAACAACGCAGAGAAGCGCATTAGCGAGATAGAGGATCAAGCCAATTCCCAAGGGAAGACAATGGGTGATTTGTCCAAAGATGTCAAAGCCCTCCAGGGGAAAATGCTGGATCTGGAAGCTAGAAGTCGGAGAAATAATCTCATCCTAGCCGGCCTCCCCGAGGGTAAAGAAGCCGGTGGTATCTCCCCACTACTGGATAAAATTCTCCGACACTTCCTGAAGCTGAGTGACACAATCCCCGCACCTGAGATAGAGCGTGCCCACCGCGCTCTGCGTCCCATCCCGGACCCTGGGCATCCTCCGCGGCATATCATCATATGTTTTCTCAGATGGAGCGATAAGAACAAGGTGTTTAAGACGCTGGCGTCTGCTAAAGGAAAGCTGACATGGGACGGACATGATCTTCGCATGTTTCAGGATTTCCCAATGGAGATACAGCGCCAGCGGGATTCATACAGAGAGCTCCGTAGCATACTGCGCAAAGAAGACTTACGGCACG